AAAAATCATCAATTAAAAAATATTAAATATTATTAAAGTGAAATCACTATTACTATAAATCTAAGAAGGACTGGCAATAATCACATTTTTCAAACAGCCTTTAAAAAAATCAGTGCCGCACATTTGTACAGGTAGTCCTCACAACCACAATTGAGCCTCAAATTTCTGTGTTAAGTGAGACATTTGTTAAGTGAGTTTTGCCCCATTTTACGACTTTTCTTGCCACGGTTGTTGTCAATCACTGCAGTTGACAAGTTAGTAACCTGGTTGTTAAAAATGAAACTGGCTTCCCCATTGACTCTGCTTGTCAGAAGGTCACAAAAGGTGGGATCACATGAGTGTGGGACACAGCAATGGTCGTAAGTATGAACCAGTTGCCAAGCAGTTGAATTTTGATCACCTAATCATGGGGATGCTGCAAAAATCATGAAAAATGGCCATGTCACATTTTTCAGTGCCATTGTAACTTTGAACGCTCACTAAATGAACTGTTGTAAGTCGAGGACTGCCTGTACTAGGCTTATACCTCATGAAATGGCTGTGGTCTAATGTCACGACTCCCTTGGAGAATCGTCTGATGAACATTCAGAATCCTCTGAAGTAACAGATTGTATCAACTTATAAGAGATGCAACAGGAAGATAATGTTCCCTTAGAAAAAATGTTTAGATCTATTACTAAGATTGCAGAGGATTGTCATTCAGTATCACCAATTGACCTACCTTATATTCCTGGAGAGGATTCAGCACAGCATTGAAACTTAAGAAATGGCCAAGCTTATTATTCTGTTAAGACTTGCAGCAGGTGACCTCACCCCTCATTTATGCTGAGGCAACAAAGCTTCATCACAAGCAGGTCATCTAAATTAAGGTATTATGCCTTTTGATTAGCCTAACTCCTTACTTGGAAAACACAGGCAACTAATGTCCTTTATAGAACCTTTCTTAAAAAGTAGATAACCAACAAGAGGAGAAACAATACTAATTAAGGAGAGAAGCAACCTAGAACTAATGAGAGTTAGAACAATTAATCAGTGGAAAAACTTACCTCCAGAAGTTGTGAATGCTGCAACACTGGACGTTTTTAAGAAGAGATTGGACAGCCATTTGGCTGGAATGGTATAGGGCAGTGATGGCGAACCTTTTAGAGACCGAGTGCCCAAACTGCAACCCAAAACCCACTTATGCATCGTCGGGTGCCAGGTGGGTGTGGCCCATTGGATGGGCGTGGCTGCGGCGGTAACAGCAGACTGGGTGGGACTAAAAAGTTCAATCAATCAATTCCAACTTTGCAAGATCTTTTTTTTTCCTGCGAGAAGTTGAAATTGACTGATTGATTGAACCTTTTTTTTTGTACACGGCGGCTGAGGCTTAAAGCGAAAAGGTTTTATAAAACCCAGCTGAAGGCCTAGGACTGGGGCGACGGCGCGAGTGCCCACAGAGAGGGCTCTGAGTGCCACCTCTGGCACCCGTGCCATAGGTTCGCCACCACTGGTATAGGGCTTCCTGCCTGAACAGGGGGTTGGACTACTAGAAAACCTCCACCATCCCTTCCAACTCTGTTATTCTGTATTTTGTATGAAGTTGTATACCCTATACAGTAAATACTTATTTCAACTCAGTTATATAGTCCACACCATAAGTCAGATGTTAGAAGGATCTTTCCTTCCAACTGAGAAGAGGCAGAATCATAACTACTTTTTCTTATTAGATGCATCACTAAAAGTATGCACACTGATTTTATCTGTGCTTTTAAAAATAACTAACTACCCAGAACATTAAAAAAATTGGTGTACATAAACAAGGTATCAAATATAAATTAAAATAAAATATTAAACAGAGAAGACTAAAAGTTGGAAGTTGTACCATTGTACTGCAAGGTAGGAAAAGATAGCTCCATGTAATTAGGCCTGTACAATTCTTCGCCTGATGTGTTGTTGAAGTACAACTTCCAGCAACTCTAACTAGCACCTGATTCTCAGTCCTGGACTGGAATATGAATTAACTGAGGTTCAATACCTTATGACATGGCTATAGCAGATATGTGAACAATATTGATTTGTATAAGCAGAATTGGAAGTTACAGCTCATTATAATTCATATTCCAAAATTGTTCCCCAAATGTGAACACCTTTATCAATTCCAAGATACATACTGCTCTTGTCCTTGCTCCATTGCCATATTAAAATTCCAAGAGAAATTTGTATAATGACCGGGTTTTTTTATTAGCAAACATAGGTCTTTTCATCTGATTTTGCCAATAGCTTAAATTATGTGTACAATATTTTCATCAGAATATGCCCCATTGTACCTACATGTGGGGTACTATGATATATAAAGCACTGACAACAGTTGACATTTCAATAAATTAAGTAGCTACGTTAAAGCTACAATAAAGTATTCTACCTCACCTTGGTCTTGCTCACAAGGAGCTTATGAAGAAAGCTTTAAAAATATTGAAGCATTTGTTTATCAATATTCCAGGGATTTTGTAATACCTGAGCTGGATTACTTATGATTTTTTTAAAAAATGTGTGCACATTTCTTTATTGATTTATAGCTTCAATCCATCACCACTACCTTCATCTCTGGCAGGTTGAAATTTCAAAAGAAAAACAGAATAGAAAAAAAATGAAATCCAGGTTGAAAATAACAAAATAAATATTAAAACCATCTAATACTTAAAAGCCTGGATTTTTAGCAAACATTGAGAGAACAGGAGACAAAGGCCATTCCACAGTTTTGGAACAGCACAGAAAAAGAAGTCTTCTTGGAGATGACATAAAGACCTGAGTCTGGTAACAGGACATATTCTAATTTGCTGATATTAAGAACTAAATTTTACAATTTTACAGAAAGTCCCTTACACCCTTACATCCCATTTAAATTTTGAAACTGTGGCCAGTAAACCAACTGCTAATTTCAAGGATAGCCAGCAATGACAAAGATTGTTCTTTCTATTTAATCATAGTAGTTTGGACTTTTCTAAAGAGGTGCCCTCCAGGTATATGAGACTTAAACTCCCATAATTTCCAATCATGATGTTCTGGTAAGAAGAAGAAAATCATGGAGTCTTTGGCAGGAAAGCATCTCAATTTTGTAGGGTGGGATGGGAAGGAAAAAAAATGGGGAAAACATTATTTACTTTTAAAGTTGGTTTATCTAAGAGGATGACAGAAAGGCAGTTTACTGCTAGTGAAAGAGATCAGAAAGCCAGTTGGTGTGGTGGTTAAGGCATCACGCTATAAACCTGGAATCTGTGAGTTCTATCTAGTCCTGCCTAAGGCGTGAAGCCAGCTGGTTGATCTTGATCAGTCACTGCCTCTCATTTGACCAGTCACTCCCTCAAGAAAGGAGGTAATGGCAAACCACTTCTTTAAAAAAAACACCTTGCCTAGAAAACTTCAGGGACTACTAAAGGCAGTCGACAGGAGTCAATACGGAAGGAAGGAAGGAAGGAAGGAAGGAAGGAAGGAAGGAAGGAAGGAAGGAAGGAAGGAAGGAAGATTCCTATTCAACTTATAAAGCACTTTTCAGGACTTTGGAGGAAAAAAAATCAACCCTTTGTAGGGAAGTTAAAGTGTTCAGAGAAAAAATAAAGCTACATGTAAAATCCCATTTTAATTCTAAAATTAAGACATTTTGGCTCAGTAAGTCTCAAAAACTAAAGTTGAATTAGCCTTTTGTTAATTAACTTCCTTTCAATGATGCTTCCTCTCCCATACCTAATCAGCCTGTGCCTATTGTCATGGAATTGTTTCAAAAGCAAGGAAGCCTGCAAAATACTTTTAATGAAAATAAAAGCAGAATCCTGCATAAATACAACATTATGTTAAAATGCCAGGCAATTGCAATGCATATGCTTAACTGAATGTAAGCAAAGAATCTGGCAGAAAGCCCAGTTTGGGTCAATAGAATTATTACTGATTTCTCTAAAAAAATACCTTTCCGAGGAGATGACGGAATACACTTCTATCTGTTCAGAAGCCCACTTAGCATAACTACAGGTAGTCCTCAACTTACGACCACAACTGAACCCAAAATTTCCCTTGCTAACCAAGGCAGTTATGAAGTGAGTTTTGCCCCATTTTACAACTCTTTTTTGCCACAGTTATTAAGCACTCCAGTTGTTTAAGAAAACCACATTGTTGTAAAGCACATCAGGCTTCTCCCATTAACTTTGCTTGTTGGAAGCAGCTGGGAAGGTTACAAACAGTGTTCACATGACCTGGAGACTACAGTTGTCATAAATACATGCCAGTTGCCAAGTGCCTGAATTTTGAGAATGTGACCCTGGGGAGGCTGCAACGGTTGTATGTAAAATGGTTGTTAAGTCACTTTTTTCAGTCGCTTTGAACACTCACTAAATGAATGGTTGTAAGTTGTGAACTACCTGTACCACCTCATCAGTACAGAGGAGACTGTACTAAAACCACCACTGGCATTATCAAGCAGCAGAAATCTTTTGCTGCAAGTCAGTGATATAAGGATGGTTTTCTAGATCAGGGGTCCCCAACCCCCCGGTCTGTGGACTGGTACAGGGCCGCGGCATGCCAGCAACCGGTCTGCATAACAAGCAAAGCCCCATCTGCACTCTCCAGTCCACGGAAAAACCTCTCTCCACGGAACCAGTCCCTGATGCCCAAAAGGTTGGGGACCTCTGTACTAGATTATCCCTTCCCACATATGCTCCCCTCCCCAGTTTTCAAATTCTAAGTAAATTAATTATTGTCCTGGTGATTACGTTTACATTGCTCTGAATAATCTATCCTATGAAATGAAAAGCAACAGGGAAGCTTAACTTGCTTTGTTCACTAAACAAACATATTTATTCTGTAACTACTGCAAAATCAAACATATTTATTCTGTAACTACTGCAAAAACTACTAGGCATGCTAGTAATGTCATTGACTATGAACTGGTATGTGCCACAAGGCATATCTGTCCACTGTAATTGCTTGGAGTCAGAACTGTAATATAGAAGAAAACGACAAATACTGACCTTTCTTTGCCAAACTATTATTGGGTTCATATTTTTCAATCAGTTGTTGAACCTGTTCTTGCTTCAAGGGCGGATAGAGAATTTCATTTAACCTTGGGTCTCGCTGCTTGAAGTTTATAAATTCCATCATCTGGTCAACAGTTAGATACGGTCTGCTCTTTGCCCCTCTGATAAAAAGAAAAACCATTGAAACATAAAGAAAAAGAAAAGGAATGTGAGCAAGCATCCTACATATCTCCTTCTGTTATGTTTCCTGGATGTGCTAATGTACCCGAGAACAAACTCTTGAAGCGTAGGTTCACACCGATAATGGACTAGTTGTTTGATTATATTCCATTTTATTGAGCTTCATGTAACTTCCTCCTCTCTCCCACATTGTATTAAAGACTAGAAGGGATGGAGAACACTGCCAAGGATGCTAAGTCTATAACTCAAGGACTATCTCTAAGCCTGAAGCTACAACGTAGAGAGGATTGATAGGCTAACAGTTACTATTAATTTTACTGGATCTAAAGTAACTATTGTTCCTGAATATCTGCCTTCACTGTCTTGACTATACAGGTAGACCTTGACTTACAACAGTTCATTTGGTGACCGTTCAAAGTTTCATCGGCACTAAAAAAAGTGAGTTATGACCGTTTTTCACAGTTACGACCTTTGCAGCCTCCCCATGATCACGTGATCAAAATTCAGATGCTTGGCAACTGGTTCATATTTATGACTGTTGTCATGTCCCAAGATCATGTGATCCACATCTGCGACCTTCAATAATGCCTTTCTTAATGTCATACGGGACAATTTGTTAAAGATGAAAGCATCCCCATAATGTTATTAATTTTTTTCTATTTGACCCAAACTCATCAGACCCTCATTGGCTCACTCAGAACAGCCACTGCCACAAGTTTATACTTGCAAATAGGCCTGCCACTTTTCCTCATATGATCATCAAATACCATTAAGACCATCAAATACCATATGATCATCAAATACCATTAAGACAGTGCTGCAGAAGCAGCATCTACCGACATCCTTTAGGGAGAGAATAAAATTATAGAGCTATAGCTAAAACATCAGAAAAAACAGACTGGGAAATTCTATGTAACTCACAACCCATGACAAAAGAATATGTGTTTAAAAGCTCTGGCACCAATTTTTAAAAATTGGAGCAATTTTGAGAGGAAAGATTTAAAATACAGAACTTGAAGAGAGTGTGATAGCAGAGAAAAGAATTTAATTATTTGTCCAACCAGAATTGTTCCATTTCAATTACAGTATGTCCTCCTCCAACTTTCTTTCTCTCTCCAGATAATTCCAACTGTATCCATATTGGTGTCAGTATTCTCTTTCATGCATCTACAGTTAAAGTCCCTCTAAATTCTAAGGAATTCCATACCAAAGGCATGACTATTAAAACCATAAGAAAAGGAATACATGTGATATTCATTGTTAAACTGTTTGGGTTTTCCATAACATTAGAATATGAAATAATAGCAGGTCAGCTGTCAATTGAATTTTATATTGAATGCAAGCACTGACAATAGGCACTGTACTACATTGTCTTCTGACTTATCTTTTTGCTATGTTGAAAAGATTATCAAGGCATGTACTGCCCAGTGGGTACCTCCTGACCACTTAGTTTACCTGGAGTTCAAACCAGTTATGTCAGAAGATAAATATCATCTGACAGTTACATTCCATTAGGAATATTGTATTATTAATGTTCAAGAGATCAACTAAAGTGGCAGAGCCTTATAGAGAAAAATTGTGGCTCTTAGAACAGCTGATACATTAAAATAATAAAACCAAAATATCCCAAACTCTGGTGATCAAAGGATGATGCTAGAACTGGAATAAAGCAATTTTCCATTGGGAAAAATATTATAACAAATACAGAAGTGAAGGAAAATGTAGGTTTCTACAACTCCTTACAGTTCTAGGAAGATGTGGTCAATTTCAGGTCGAGGACAAAAGTTGCTCAAAAACTCCCTGTATATTTCTGGAGTGAAGTCGTCTTGAGGAATGGAATCATTCTGGAGAGGAATTAAAATACAGCATGTAAAGTAATGATTTCTCAAAGTTGTTGTTCCTTCTCAATTGTTCAGTCTTTTTCAAAGCTTTCAATCTGCTAACAGTTCTACTAAATTTCTTCTAATTTATTTGGCTCCTGTACCTCCTTGGTGCTTTGCTGAATATTTGTTACAATCAATCTTTATTTATGGTTATAGACCAGAATTAAAAATTAAAATGTTAAAACAAAATAAAACAAAACAGTAGAATAGTATATTACAGTTAGTGATGAGATCACCAGTGGGCATCCAAAGTCTGCCTAATTTTACAGACAATATAGCAGAATTTAGCTATGTTCAAAGAAACTATATCATACTGATCCAATAGTAACCACTGTACATAAAAGATATCAGAATTTCCCAGATATTTTGTCAGATAAAGAGTTATAAAATGAGTGCATGAATCTGTATAGAGGGTGCAAAATACATAACAGGACATGAGCTGTGGTTTCAATGGCCTCTTGTCCACAGGGGAACAATCTCAGTTCATACTTTTTTTGTATTGACCCTCCAAAACTGCTGTGAAGAGACCATTAACAACATGCCAGAATTAGAGTCCTCTGAAATTTAGAAACAGTTAATATAAATGTCTCACTGGTTTGCGAAGCAAGGCCTGACTGCTCAAGAAAACATTATTGGGTAGGACAGACAGATCCTGTTTGATTTCCTAGTTTTTAATATATTGTTTAAATGCACCAAATGCATGCTCGTAGCCCATGAGTAGGAACTCCTCCAAGTTGCTGGATTATTTTTAATCCGTGTTGATTTACAATTATCTTCCATAAGGAGGGGGCTCAGATCTGCATCCTATCTTCTTACACCCATTTACGCCCAGCATCCTTATTGAGTTTCCAGTATGACTTTTTTATTCCTCCAGCAAACAAAGTCAGCATCATATTCTCCCATTTTTAATGGTGCAGAAATACAATATCTCAAACTATACTTGAATACCTTGAGACTGTAGACTTATCAGAAAAAAATGAAAAAATGGAATGAAATTTTGATTTAATGGGTCAATCTGAAAAGGGGTTGTCTTTTAGTCTTGAAGAGTGCAAGATGTGAAGCCTTTAAATCAAAATTTCATAAATGTCAACCTCAGTCCAGTTTGTTGTCATACAACAATGGAAAGCAAGCAGTTGGAAGTAGAATGTAAATTATATGTGGTGGAATTATTCATTTTCCCAACTTCAAAATTCATTTTCCTATAATCAATAAGAACAAGAATGCATTGCTTGCACTGCATTATTTATTTTCTGTAAAAGTTGAAATAATATAAAACAGAAATATAACTTATGTATCCCCGGTATAACTGTCAAGTTAAAATCAGCATTTCACAATTACTATCGTAAAAATATTTCTACCCACCTAATAGAATCATATGTAACATTCTTTCAGCTATGCTGTTAAAACCAAAAATTTACAAGTTTCCATTACTGACCAACTTTCACAAATTGGAGCACTGTATGCCATCTTGATTGCTCAACTGAACAGCTTCCTAATTGTGTTTTGCTAGATTTACAAAAAGAGACTACTTGAAATACAGAAGAAATTTATAACAAAGATCAACAACTGCTGGAATGGATCACAGAGAAAGACTATCTTATGCTAAAAATGGATTTATTTGACCATAGTTAAGGTGGGAGATGTCCTTTTGACATCTCCCATGTTAATGTGTTGTGTTATATGTTTTTTTCTTAAAGGAGAAATGCCTCTGTTTTTGAGGTTAAACTTTAGATTTAGATGAGGATACTGGGACCTTTTTATGCTTTTTAAAGGGAGTTTTGCCTATGGTTGAGAAATGGAGTTTTATATTTGTTAAATTTAATATTTTAGAGCTCTGGAGTTTTTGCTGACAATTGGGTAAGAAGAAGATGTAATTATTTGATTTGTTTATTACTAAAAGATGAATTATGGAACTAAGTGATGAAAAGATTAGGAAATTGTACTGATGATGAGAGTGGGAAGTAGGTACCTTAAAAGGGGAAAAAATGTATTCTTTTTCTTTTTTTTTCATCAGTTGTTTTTTGTATAAAAATCTTAATAAAAATATTTTCTGGTTAGACTGGAAACATATTAATTATTACTGGATGTTCTATTTCCTCTCTGGCTCTTTATCTGCCACCAGATAGTGAACTCCCTTCCTATTCTTATCTTATACTTCCTGCCAACTAACTGTTGCTGTATTGTCTTTATTTCCAAATATTGCTCTAAAGAAATTTTCTCAACTATCAAAGTAGTTTGAAAAGGTCATAAATTTGAATCAAAGTGACTGAAATTGAAAACCAATTACCCTAAACCAGGGGTAGGCAACCTTGGCTCTTTTATGACTCGTGGACTTCAACTCCCAGAATTCCTGAGCCAGCATGGCTCAGCTTGGAAGCCTCTCCTTTCTCCTCAGCATGGCTGGCTCAGGAATTCTGGGAGTTGAAGTCCACGAGTCATAAAAGAGCCAAGGTTGCCTACCCCTGCCCTAAACATTTCAGAGCCAATCAAGAAGTCTTTTCTGACAACTGTAAATGTTTAGCCATTATTGGTCAATCACAAATCTTTTCCATATAAATCTGGTAATTTAAAATGAATCTGTTTACTTTTTAATAGAAATGCAGTATTTTCCATCTATAACTTTCATTTTTGGTAGCTGATTACAGTTTTTTAAAAAATGTTTTAGCATTTTAAAAAGAAATTCTGGCATGTCTCCTTATGGAGAAACACTACATTAAGTTTTTGTTACCTTGTTTCTGTTATTTCCCATAATAACTGAAAAATATAATTTCATTTAAATATTTGTGTTAAAATTATTTTCTATAATAGTGAACCACATTGCATTTAGTTAATTGAAGGGTATGTATGTCTCCAAAACCAGTAAAATCCTTTCAAAAGTCTAACAAAAAAACCCTTCAAACTATGCATCTTTTTTTCCACTTTTATTTGAAATTGGGAAAGGAGTCCGGCAAGGCTGTATACTGTCGCCCTGCCTATTTAACTTACATGCAGAGCACATCATGAGAAAGGCAGGGCTAGATGAATCAAAAGTTGGAATTAAGATTGCCGGGAGAAACATCAACAACCTAAGATATGCAGATGATACCACTCTAATGGCAGAAAGTGAAGAGGAACTAAAGAGCCTCTTGATGCGGGTGAAGAAGGAGAGTGCAAAAGTTGGCTTGAAACTCAACATTAAGAAAACCAAGATCATGGCATCCGGCCCTCTCAATTCTTGGCAAAGATGGGGAAGAAATAGAGGTAGTGACAGATTTTATTTTCCTGGGCTCCAAGATCACCTCAGATGGGGACTGCAGCCAAGAAATTAAAAGACGCTTGCTCCTGGGGAGGAAAGCTATGGCAAATCTAGACAGCATACTAAAAAGCAGAGACATCACCCTGCCAACAAAAGTACGTATAGTCAAGGCCATGGTTTTCCCAGTTGCAATGTATGGCTGTGAAAGTTGGACCATAAGAAAGGCTGAGCAACAAAGAATTGAGGCCTTTGAACTATGGTGCTGGAGAAGACTCCTGCGAGTCCCTTGGACTGCAAGGCGATCAAACCGGTCAGTCCTAGAGGAGATCAACCTTGACTGCTCTTTAGAAGGCCAGATCCTGAAGTTGAAACTCAAGTACTTTGGCCACCTAATGAGAAGGAAGGACTCACTGGAGAAGAGCCTAATGCTGGGAAAGATTGAGGGCCATAGAAGAAGGGGACGACAGAGAATGAGGTGGCTGGATGGAGGCACTGAAGCAGTAGGCGTGAGCTTAAATGGACTCCAGAAGATGGTAGAGGACAGGAAGGCCTGGAGGAACGTTGTCCATAGGGTCGCGATGGGTCAGACACAACTTCGCAATTAACAACAACAACAAAAGCTATTAACCAGTTGTGGATTTTTAAAATATTTTCATGTTGTTATCTTCTTAAAATAAATTCTTATTTTTCAACTACTTTCCAACATTTCCTATAACATGCACTGGATTTCTTTCATTACACTTTTACTTGTTGCAGAAAATGAAAAGTTATGCTATTCACAAAATCTCCTAGCCAAATCCTAACTCCAACTCTGTTCTTGTCAAAGTCAACCCTAGATGTCTTCTAAGGTAGGGGTGCCCAATCCCCGGGCTGTAGACCTGGTCCCTGGTGCCCAAAAGGTTGGGGGCCACTGTTTTAAGATGTAGGGCTCCAAATGCATGCCTCATCCTGATGTAATCATGGTGAATTGAACATATATTGTGTGACAGTAGCAGAAGCAGCATCAGTCAACCACTGCAGTGAGATAACAAAGTGAAAGGGAGCGGACAGAAAGGTTATTCAGTGGCAGAGTTCTGCAGAATAATAAGTACATGCATTTTGAAAAAAATGTTGTTCAAAGACTGTATAACCATGTACAACTTCTCATACACGACACACCTCCAACAGCAACTACTTTTACACATTGTTTCTTATTTATCCAGGGTTTTTTCAACTATTTTGATGCACTAGCACAGTGGTTCTCAACTTTTTTAATGCCGCAACCCCAACCGGTCGTAAGTCGAGGACTAAACCGGTCGTAAGTCGAGGACTAAACCGGTCATAAGTCGAGGACTAAACCGGTCGTAAGTCAAGGACTACCCAACCGGTCGTAAGTCGAGGACTTTCCCTGCCCGGGAGTGCCGCGCATGCATGATTCCGCCCCCTGCGCCAGCTGAGGCGTAGCTGGCAAGCAGCAGAGACAGAGCAGGCCAACCACCAGCTGGCCCAGCCCAAGGGAGGTAAGGCACCCACTGGAAAAGGGGAAAAAAATGGCGGACAAAAAAATGGCGGACAAAAAAAAATGGCAGACAGCCTTGCTTGGCGACCCCCATGAAATGGTTGATCGACCCCAAATGGGGTCCCGACCCACAGGTTGAGAACCACTGCACTAGCAGCTATTAAATTAGTAGTTCAGTATCACAATCATTTAGCATTTAGTGACTGGGACTGTGCTTGAATAAGTATTTTTTGTAAAAGTACAAAAATGTTCTGATTTTAGCTCTTTTAAGTATATTAGATCTTTTCCTGTAAGCTAGTATATCCCTTTGTATTATTTATTCTTTCAAAACTTTTAACCTTCTTCTCAACCTTTGTAACCATAAACCGAATTGGGTTTAAACTTAGTCATGACCAAAATGATTTATTTTCTTTCATTTTGAAGAATTTAGTTGCAGTACCTATCCGTGAAGAATAAAACTGAGCATTCACCTAAACAATTCTAAAAAAAACAAACAAAGTTCTCATCTTAAATGTATCTGCTGAAATAAACAAGATGCACCAACCTATGCATCTTTCTCGGTTCAAACAAATCTTTATTTTTTCCCCCTTACTATATCAACACAGAAGCTGGCTACTTCAATCTACAGACATCTGATTGCAAAATTAAGGTGCCATGCCATCATAATCATTTTTGATGGGAATATTTGGATTTGCATACCAACTATTCTCCAGGAGTGTAAGCGGTTTAAGCACAGATCTTCTTTCATTTTATCCATATAAACACCTTGTATAGAAGACTGGTCAGAAACAGAGCACTGATTTCATTTGTATGCAGTGTCATTAGAATCTTTATACTGTATGTTTTTAATTTTGTAAAGCTTTTATAATCAACTGTAATGGATTTTTAAAGGATTTTTTTAATTCCACCTTTTTTCATATACAACTCATGATTGTTAATATGTCGATATTTCTTCCCACTCCTATTTTCCCCATAACAAACATGCGAAGTGAGTTGGGCTGAGAGTGATTGGCCCAACTGGTTTTCATGCCTAAGGTGGCACTAGAACTCACAGTCTCTTGGTTTCTAGGCCAATTTAACCATTACCCATTTTAGCTATTATGTTGCATTATTGTTGCGCAATTTGTTGTTCACTCTTTTGTTCTGATCAATGATGAAATAAATCATTGTATTTATTTATTCATCCTGTAAATTTCCATGGGAGGGGTCAATTGAACCTGGGTCTCCCAAGCCTAGTCTATCTTCTTAACTAGATGATAACCAGTGATAGAACAGAAAGACTGGAGAGAAAGAGATTTCATGAGAGTAGCTGTTTGCTCTTCTACGTATTGAGAACAATGCAACCACACTGGCAGCAGGAAAAGGTCAGGCAAAGGTGAGATTGCCTACAGAAAATGTTTGCTTTTTCTCTTCCCCCAACCCACTTCACAGAGCAGATAGACTGGAGAGAAAAAGATTTCAAGAGAGTACTGTAAATTGTTTGTGTAGCATGCCAACGGATACCAGCCCCAGACTGCCAGTTTGACATTGCTTTTGATGTGTAGAAGAGCAAATATACTCTCTTGAAATCTCTCTCTCCAATTTTTCTGCTCTCTTATTCCTGTGAAATCCCTTCCTCTCCAATCTCTGCTCTGTGGGGGGAGGGGGGGAAGAAGAAACTATAAGTCAGGACAAGACTTACAATGGCAATGTCATGATTGAGGTATGCTTGGAGGCAGTAAATGAGCTGTAAAAAAAATTTCAGTGCCACTGTAAATACACATTCTGCTTCTAAGGTCTGAATGTTAACAATGATTACATGTAAATGAAGGGTGTGAACCATATAACATTTAGCTTTTTGTACTAAGTAATATACTTTAATGGGTTTCTGATTCACAGTTTTTACTCTATTTCTGTAGGACATTCAAACAGTTAATTCTTTGCTACTCAGGGAAAGTCACTGACATATTTTGCTGTAATATACTATGTAATATACTACATTATCGAAATGTGATAAAAATCATTATGTAGAAAGTATCAAGAGAGATAACAAAAATAATTAAGCTTATGCAAAATTATAGAGAGTGGATGGGTAAATATTTGCTCATGGGAAGCTACTCCTGAAATGTCAAAGTAAACATAAAAGGTTTTGATCAAATATACAAGAATGTAGCAAACGTAGGTCTAATTTGCTTAAATATTGCTGTGTTGAGAGAAATGCTAAGATAGAAAAGCCATAGCCATTATTTATTTCTTTGCTTTGTACAACTACTAAGGAAATAAAAGATACTGTTGTCAACTTTCTTACTTCTGTTTTTTGTTTGTTTGGTTGGTTTTTTGTTTTTTGTTTTGATAGACAGGGCCTTTTCCCCCACAATATCCCAGTGACTGGAAAAATTCCCAGGAGCCAATAGAAAGATCAAGTGATGTTCCACATTTGCCTCCCCTCTTAAGATATCTGCATTTCATATTGGGTTGTCTTTCAAGAATAACCTAAAAGCTTTAGCTATGAATCTTTCAAAAGGAAGAGGGAGAAAATCACACATCCCATTAGTTGATAAATAACTTCATCAGCCACCAAAAATGGGCAGAATGTTGACTTTGACTGAACAAACCAGAGGCCATCTTGAACTAGAGTATCTGGAATACAACTTCCCCTTTCAACATTGCTGCTTTAACATTAAACGTGCCCAACTTCATCTCTGTAGCTTGTGGGTGGCTATCAGTCAACCCATTAGGCAGACCAGACCAGAAAATCAACTCTGCAGGAAGACTAGAACTATATCTTATCGAGATAGGCTATAATAACAGAAGCTTGCCAGCATGATTGTGCTATACCTCCTCCCCAAATTTATCCCAATGAACCAGAGGGAGTCTGTCTGAATTACTTCTGAATGTTATCTTGCTTCCCAGGACATAATTTTCAGCCCTCTTTGCTTATGTAACAGTTCTTGCATATTTCTGTCATGGTAATTTCCCTTCCTCTTTATACTATTAAAGCTGCATAATATTTTTCTTGGTGCCTTTTATTTCTGGAGAATTCTTAACATCCCATATGCATTTTTGTAGCATGTAGGAGGAAAGCTTACTAATCAGATAATCCTCAGTGTCTCTCCCCATCAAAGGGAATCAATGTTGCCTGCAGAAAGAGACTGATGAGACACTTTTCCATAGTGAATGCTTTTGTCTACTGTCAGCACAGATCAGGATGTACTTGAAAGTATGAATTAAATAATTTTACATTTTTTCCTTCCACAAAGACAAATCCCACATTAATTAAACCAAAAGTTGGCAATATATCACATCTGCTCACCCGGCTCTCTCAGTTCCACCTACCCAGGAGTTTCTCCATCTCTTGTTTGGCTATCAGTAATCAGGATTGATTTCCCTACACAATTATTACAAACTCTGCTTCTGTTCAGGTTTTCTATGGCAAAGTTGCTTCTACTGTTTAATCATATGTCTAAAGATTTACAGTGCATTTTTTTTAAAATTGGTGTTTTATAATGTAGTCCTTAAAAGGTTTTGCCACCCATCCCAATTTGAAAGATGGGGGCATACATCATTTCAGACTCAAGATTTCACTCTCCAAAATGTGTAGGAGACGAACTGCCACTGAGAACCACCCCTGGAGCTCTTCTTCTTTAGATTCAAATAGAAACACTTTGAATTGTTTGGGGGAAAACGCATGACATGGTATTCTCTTGCCCTGCTGGAATTTGGCAAAATGCTGAATACATTTCTCCAGAACATCTAAATCCCTGTTGGGATTCTGACATATTTTTCTTTTTCTATCCCAGTGCTACTCGTTAAAACAACAGCCAATATCTTTCAGTAAAAAAGCCAGTTAAGAGTAGATACAGCAAATTTGCTAAGCTGGAATCCCACCAGAATACTGAGTGATAGGATGAACCCAGAGACTAGCATATAAGCTTATTGGTGCTTGAAAAATTCTAGAACTGACACACACTAGAACTAACATCAGAGTGGCTGGATTGCATGGCTGGAAGAGAAGCAGAGGTCAACGTTTCTTATTAAAATCAGAGGAAAAAGGTTTCAATACTTACTCTAGCAGATGGAAGATTACAAGCTTCCAGTGCAGTCTCAACACGCTTTCTGTCAGAGGAGAATAAGCGATAAATGCTGCAAAATTTAAAAAAAATATGAGTGAGGCTCTTCACTAATCCCTCATATATTCTTGGTCTGCTGGCATTACACTATCTAAAGGATTGCTTCTCTCTCTCTCTCTCTCTCTCTCTCTCTCTCTCTCTCTCTCTCTGTGTGTGTGTGTGTGTGTGTGTGTATCTGTCTGTCTGTCTGTCTCTGTCTCTCCAATGAATTTCTGTGGTTGGCTAACTCTTTATTCATATACTCAATGCCATCTAATATCATTACTCTCCATCTAACTTTAGAACCAATTCAGACATTACAGAAAAATCAGTTCAAATCTGTTACCCCGCATTATTTTGGACAAGGTGACACAAGCAATGTTAAGTCGTTGAAGCTTAGGATGCACAATTTTTCAAACTGAGTTTTATATATTAGTAAGATATATATTTGGATGTAGGTAGATGTGTAGATGATTCTGTTAGAATGAATTTGCTAGTTCTTGCAAGATAGTTCTTGCCCTTTCAGTTCTGCATGTGTTATTGTGTACATTCCCTTCCCGAACAAGCTCAAATAATATTCTAGAACCATGTTGGAGATCCAGTTGATATTCATGAAGCACAGCTCCTGCTATCACTCACTTTCGACCCATGTTGATAGAACCTGGGGTTCAACAAACACCTGATTTACATCCCTACCCTACAGACCAAGTGGCTGATATCAATCTATGGCCTCTACAATGCTTCCATGTTCATATCTGCCACCTAAATAGTAATCTAGGAAACTACTGGGCTGCCATTAGCAAACAAACTGAAAAGCCTTGCACAGCCAATCTGTACAAAATAAATCTGATTCACTCTTCAGCTTTATTTTTATGTGCCTCAGCCATGGTCTTTTCCAATTCTTAATTTCTGAAACAAAGATTTTGTTCCCACTGGGGTGGTTAATCTAACCTTGAATTGTATCCTCGCACACTACAATTGGATATCCCATATGATTTTCTAGAGACATTATGTTGCCTAAAGTAAAGGATTAAATCCCCCCCATTCCTTCTATTCCACATAGGGAACATCAATCAACAAGTAGTTGACCATATGTCAACACTGATTATGTCATAATGTACTTAGTTGCACTTATGGGTAGCAGGCTAATTGAGAGTGCATTTCAGACTAGCTACATGAGAAACATAACTCTTCAGTCTGACATCTTGCCACTATTCTGGTTCAGTGTATGGTTAACCCAAGGGAGGCTTCATAGGATTGAATGCTCTTCTGTACTTATATTTCTTTTACAGAACAAAAGTTTCCAGTCGTGCCTTCTTTGTCACACGCTAACTCTCTATCTATGTTGGCATGTCTGTGTGTGATTTGCAGAAGGGGAGAGTGAGTTCTTTTGTATGGTAAAACAATGAAAGACACCCCCCCATTTACAACCTGAAATGGTATAATCCAAACACAGCTTGACCATCATACAGTGAAGAGTACTAAACCATGATGAAATTTCACGGCATGCTTCTATTTTTAAATGGTGCCTAGAAAGTCAGTTTCATAATACTATAGATTATAGAACATGCAATGACATTTTAAAGCTTCCAACAATCCAAACGGTCATAATGGAACCCAACTTACTTCTTCAAAGGGATACGCCCATCTGTAGTGACTTGCAATTTAAGTTTTGTGTACCTAAGAAAATAATGTGTTGATGAGAAATCATTGCAACAATATTAGAACTTGCTTTATCCATTGTTGACCATAAAACAACCTTGTACTTTGTTCTATTGAAGAAAATTATAATGTCACCAAAACTGTTTCCAAAAAAAGCTTAATGCATTTAAACATTAAGAAAATGATATTTACCTGTAATGAATTTCTAAGTGCACCTTCTGAGGGAATAATCGAGTCCCCCCAGTAACTTAAAACAAAAATAGAATTTTGTTCAAGCTGGTTTGTTTTACACTATTCTTACATGTATAAAGATCTATTTTATGTATATGAATTCTGTATTCATATACAGAATCCATACTCTGTTCCTTAAAAAGACATGGCTTGAAATAGGTTATGGATATAGAAAATTGGAAGACTTCATCTATGCAGAAATAGTGCAGTGAACCCTGCAGTGGACAGACAGATGGACTTGATGACCTCTTAGGTGACTTCTGTGTTCTTGCAATCAAGCTGCTAATGGCACAGTTCTATTCAAACAGTTCACTCATATCAGCGTGGATTTTAGACTCTCTTTTAGCCACATGAGAAAGCATTTTTTCTTTCAGAAGTAGGAATGATGGGTAAAAAGAGAGGGACAGACTCAGCTGGTTAATTGGAAATAAATATCAATATCATAGGGCCCTGTGAAGTTTTGAAGGGATACTTTACTTAAACAGACCAAGCCTATTAATATTCACCAGATGCCTTCTAGTCAGGTATGTATGTATGTAAGAGTGGTGGGATTCAAATATGTGAACAACCGGTTCTCTGTGTGGATGCCGCTTTCAGAAGTCCATTCTGGACCCGGGCAACAAAAAATTAGCTACTGGTTCTGCCAAAGTGGTGCGAACTGGCTGAATCTCACCACTAGTATATATATGTATGCATGCATGTTATGTATTCAATTTTTATAGCCATCCATCTCAGTCAATGACTCTGGGTAGCTTACAATTAAAAAAAAATACATATTACAATCAAAATACGAAAACATTTTAAAACAATAAAAACAATAGAAGCAGCCAAAATAAATATACATAGCAGTTGAGATCCTTGGCTAGTTAGCACTGGAACTAGGAAATGGAGCCCTTAACACATTCAACGCCCCAGGCACGGGAACACAGCCAGGTTTTTAGGGTCTTATGAAAGGCTAACAGGGTTGGAGCTATTCTGATCTTCGAAGAGAGGATGTTCCATGGAGTAGGGGCCACTGTGGAAAAAGCCTGTGTTCTAGTCCACACTAATCAACAGTCTATGGCTGATGGGATCTGCCCATTCTGCTGGATCCGGATGAAGTGCATCCAGATGCTAAACTGCCTAGTAAGCACTGGTGAATAATCAGTAGGAGACAAGTGTGTCTGCAGTGCTTACCACAATTACCTCCTGGCTGGGTCACACACTGCATGCAGGACAGAGCTGCCCTGCCTGAAGCTCCCTCTGCACTGGCCAAAGTTGTTGTAGGCAGGCTGACTCTGCTTCATGTTGTAGACCAGTGGTTCTCAACCTTTTTAATGCCGCGACCCCAACCGGTCGTAAGTCGAGGACTAAACCGGTTGTAAGTCGAGGACTAAACTGGTCGTAAGTCGAGGACTAAGCCGGTTGTAAGTCAAGGACTACCCAACCGGTCGTAAGTCGAGGACTTTCCTTGCCCGGGAGCGCCGCGCATGCGTGGTTCCGCCCCCTGCGCCGGCCAAGGCATAGCTGGCAAGCGGCAGAGATGGAGCAGGCCGACCACCAGCTGGCCCAGCCCAAGGGAGGTAAGGCACCCGCCGGAAAAGGGGAAAAAATGGCAGACATAAAAAGTGGCGGACAAAAAAAATGGCGGACAGCCTTGCTTGGCGACCCCCATGAAATGGTTGATCGACCCCAAATGGGGTCCCGACCCACAGGTTGAGAACCACTCTTGTAGACAGTCCCAAAGCCACCCAGTGTGAAAGCATTTTGGTCAGTAATGAAAGAAGGAATTGATAAGAACCTTCTCTCGTGGCATTGATCTGAAGTGGTTGAGGCCCTGCAGATTGTTTCAATTAAATCAAATGGCCTCTTTGCTTTCCCAGAGCAAATGCCATCATCTCCACTGTCCCAAAACGCTTGCTTGAAATGAATCTACATTGTTTCATAAAAAGCTTATTACTGTATACACTTGTGGATAAGACTATCCATGGATAATGTATTTGGGTGATGTATTTGTGGATCTAAAATTCTTGGCTTATCCGTGAATGTATGATATACAGTAGCTACCTTATACATAATGAATCAAGCTGTCAGGAATTGCAGAAATGATGGGAAGAGAAAGGCAATACTATGCTTCCAATGCTTTTCGCTAGTTTTACCCCCTGAAGTTAAGAAGCTGGCTTGGGAGTGAGGAAAAAAGGGGGAAATGAAAATTGCTGTAGGCAGGATTAAACCCTTTTGCTGAAAAATTTCAACTGCCCTTTTCTCCATATTCACTTAATCTTCAAACAAATCCTTCTCCTTTTCTTATTGGAAGATCCTATCCCTTGTTTATTCTCCTGCCACATAAACAGGTTAGACACTGCAACTCATTAAATTACCAGTATAATATTTATAATTTTGGTTTAAAGAAAACATTGTTATTATTCCAGTTAATTCATAAGGAAGTCTGAGAAATCTTGGCAATGCAGTTCATCTGTACCTCTTTAGTGGAACCTAAATCTGAGTATCAATGATTTCATTCTCTGCATTGCCCTAGTCCATTAGATTTTGCAAAAAGGATTCATCTACAGAGCAGGAAACATCTGTATGGAACACGTGGTGCTGAAAAGCTGTTAATTCTTGGGGAATTATTTTATAGAAGACATTAAGCTATGAAAGCATTAGGAAAGTGAACACACCTTTCTGTGCATTACATTTTCTACCCCAAAAGAGCATTTCACCATGATTTCACCATGATTTCATTACATATGCTTGTGTATAACATGTAGTTTAAATATACCTCCACTTATTCTTATTCAATCATCTGCATGTCTGTAGATAAACTTGGCTATATTTAGGCGTTTCCTCTTTAAGCTGAAAAAAGTGTTTCCTCTTTAAGCTGAAAAAAGTGTCAACTATTTTTGCCCCAGGATATTGTCATCAACACCACCCTTTGTGCTTTTGTTTCCAAAGCCCTCTGGATCAACACATCTTGCCTACAGATTCACAGGAACAGATTGACATTTATTTGCTTATGAGGGCAAAGGCACAAGCAATTAAGGGAGGTGAAACTCTTGTAGCCATTTATTGTTTAGCTAATAATAGATAGCACGTCATAAGGAGATAAGCCTGTCATTTATTGTTTACAATCTTAAGCAGTAGTGTCAGAATTTGCTATTTCCAGCTAGCCAGTCAATAAGAATATAGATATGGTTCTAGAACTGGCCACTATTATTTATGCTATGTTGACTGGCAGGTTTAAGCAGTGGTGGGATTCAGCTGGTTTGCACCAGTTCAGCAGAATCGGTAGCTAATTTTTTGTTGCCCAGGCCCAGAATGGACTTCCAGAAGCGGCATCCACACAGAGAACTGGTTGTTCACATATTTGAATCCCACCACTGGGTTTAAGGTAATGCATGCTAAATATTGTTACCACTGCAGATCCACTGAAGTAAAGATTCAAATGAATTCTATTCAGAATTCTACTGGGATTCAATGCTGGGATTTTATCCAGGGAATTGGTGGAATCAATCTCCAGAGAAAAAAGTTGTGTGGTGATAGTGGTGGTGGTGATGGTGGAGATTGCTCCTAGAGTTCCATGCTGAAAAGTCTTGTATATCTTTCTTTTTTAGAAAACTAGTGGTAGTCATCCCAGAGCATGCTGAGCAAGGAGCCTCAAATTTTAACAGAACAACATATAACTTTAAACACATAAGATTTTCATTTTTTTTTATAAAATGACTAAACCCTCCTTCTGTCTTATAAAAATTATAAAGTAAGTGCAATATCCATCTGGTCCCAGTCAAATCGGGAGAAGTTGTCTGATCATGAATCTACTGCTAAAAACAGAACAAACTCGGTGACTTACGAATCTTTACTGCTGAAGGATTCAAACTAATCGTTTAAAGAACGTACTTCAGGTTCCTGCTCTAACTTTTAATGGAACATCTTCCAAGGTTCACAGGAGACTTCTCAGGATGTTGCAGATTTCCTTCTCTGCTCATGAAATGCCAAATGTATCACAGAGATCCTTCCTGAATAATAGAGCTTTCTGCCACGTAACCATAAATAAGGATGAAAAGATTCCCTTCCCCATGCATAAGCTAAGTGGCAAAATTGTGGACTTCAGCATTCCAATACTTCACAATCAGGAATCAGAAAGTATATTTCTGGGGCCTAAACATGAACTAGAGTAGCTTAACACACTATCTGTTGCTGTGACTCCCCTTATATATTCATTCCCAGAATAGGAAGCATATTACATAAAGTATTAGGATGATGCTAACGAAAGCTCAGACTACACCTATTTCAGTCATCATGGCTGAGCTTCTTAGTTCTGTTTCTAAAAAGATGTTTAGTTTGCCATCTCAGTGGGAAAAGAGGAAAAAGCATGTTTATAGAGGCAGTAATCCATCATCATGCAAACAATTGGTAGCAAAAATTCCTTCAAAAAGAAAAGGAAGCTGACACATAAGAAACTGAAGCAACTTCCCACACAGTAAGGAATTTGGTACTTACGCTTTTTCCAGAAAAGCATCCCTGGACATGTTCTGTGCCAACAGGTTTGTTGCCAGGCTGAAGACTTCTTCTGACCATTCCTAAACAGAAAAAAAAAGAAATTCCATTTAGATTCATCCAGAGGCACTTCTCTTCAAGGTTCTCTTTAAAGGATGACATGAGTTAAACCTTCCCACAGGAAAACAATCAAGGTTGGTGGAAAGGTATACCGAACAAGCAGAAATGGACATGTTTATGGACAAGTATGAAACAGCATGGAGTAGAAAGCATGGTGAATGGGGCAATTATGTTGGCAGAGAGAAGCAAACAAGAATGAATAACAAGAAATACGGTTCTGTTAGTGTCACTGAGAGAAATGGTCATTAAGTCAGATGCCACATGACCACTTCACTCAATACCCACAATCTCGGCTCGGCCAGTTGTGGTTACTAAGCAACCAGCTGAGTCATTCATCAGAATGTCAGGAAGTGGTCCTAGGCCTCCGCGGTGTGGTTGGCAGAGGGAAGGCTCAGGCCTCCCAACACAGCTGGATGCTTCAGGTCCTTTCCCTGCCTGACAGGAGAGAGCAATCGTAATAACTTAGGTCAGTGATGGCGAACCTTTTAGAGTCCGAGTGCCCAAAAACTGCCCCCGTCCCCGCTCCGCCTCCCGCCCTGCCTGCTCCGGCCCCGCCCACCCCCTGCCCCGCCTGCCTGCAGGGCTACGTACCGCCTCCATGGCCTGCCACAGCAGATCGCCCAGGCAGCCCTGCAGCGCCATGGAAGCCATGCCCTCTGCCCACACCCCGCAGCATCATCTACACGCTATGGGGTGTGAGGGCGGAGTCTTGTTCCTGCTGCCTGGCTATGTCCTTAGCTGCGCTGCTCTGTGCAGGCCACGCCCGGGGGCGACTCTCCTCCAGGGGGGCTACTGGTGAGGAGGGGGCCATGGGCGGAGGCGGGGCTGGGGCAATAGTGTGCATACCCACAGAGAGGGCTCCGAGTGCCGCCTCTGGCACGCGTGCCATAGGTTCGCCACCACTGACCTAGGTGTTTGCTAGCATTTTCAAACATTTGAGTTTCATATCTCCAATGTACTGAGGGACAGACCTCAAATCTGGCAAAACACTAGTGAACACTATTGTTCTGAAGAGCTTAAAACAGCGGTTCTCAACCTATGGGTCACGACCCCATTTGGGGTCGATCAACCATTTCACGGGGGTCGCCAAGCAAGGCTGTCCGCCATTTTTTTCCCCTTTTCTGGCGGGTGCCTTACCTCCCTTGGGCTGGGCCAGCTGGTGGTCGGCCTGCTCCGTCTCTGCCGCTTGCCAGCTACGCCTCGGCCAGCGCAGGGGGCGGAACCATGCATGTGTGGTGCTCCTGGGCAGGGAAAGTCCTTGACTTACGACCGGTTGGGTAGTCCTCGACTTACGACCGGTTTAGTCCTCGACTTACGACCGGTTTAGTCCTCGACTTACGACCGGTTGGGGGTCGCGGCATTAAAAAGGTTGAGAACCATTGGCTTAAAATGTTAAAAAATGCCAGCATTTCTCCTCCCCCACCAGCATCCTGAGCCTTTCAGAACAGTGGCATTTGCTAGCATTTTTCCCTCCCACCCTTCTGGAAGTTGAGGAGTACCTGTATTCAAATATTATTTTATATACTTAACAACAAAACCATAAGGAATATTTGTATTATTGTCTCAATTATGTAAGCCCAGGTGGCAGAGGTGATACTTAAATTTGGGGCTTCTTGCTTCATAAATCAGTTTTTGAGCCTCCATATTTTTTTCTTCCATCCAATTATCTCTCATTCTCAGAGACTGTCTGAACAAGTCCTCACAGTTTTCTTAGCAAGGGTTTTCCGAAGTGGTTTGCCATTGCCTCCTTCCTAGGGCTGAGAGAAAGTGACTGCAGACATTGTTCAACTTACAGCCACAACTGGGACTGGAATTTCACTTCATGAAGCAATGCGGTCATTAAATGAATCTTCATGTAACTGGATCTGATTTTATGATCATTTTTTTCAGAGGGCATTAATCACGAGTTGTTAAGAAAATCCACATTCCCCAATTAATTTTGCTTGTTAGAAGCCTACTGTGAAGTTCGCAAATTACAATCATGGGATTGCAGGACACTGTAGCCATCATAATGAAGAGAAGCCATTTTAATGAAGAGAAGGACGAGGGGGGACATGATAGCAGTGTTCCAATATCTCAGGGGCTGCCATAAAGAAGAGGGAGTCAAGCTATTTTCCAAGGCACCTGAAGGCAGGACAAGAAGCAATGGGTGGAAACTAAGCAAGGAGAAAAGCAACCTAAAACTAAGGAGAAACTTCCTGACAGTGGGAACAATTAACCAGTGGAACAACCTGCCTCCAAAAGCGGTGAATGCTCCAACACTGGAAGTTTTCAAGAAGAGACTGGACAGCCATTTGTCCGAAATGGTATAAGGTTTCCTGCCTGAGCAGGGGGTTGGACTAGATGACCTCCAAGGTCCCTTCCAACTTTACTATTACTATTATTATTATTATAAATGTGAGCTGGTTAACAAGCATCCAAGTTGCAATCACATGACCACTAGAGTGGTATGATGACTGTAACTTTGATGTTGGGTGGTAAGTCACTTTTCTGGGGCCGTCATAACCTTGAATTGTCATTAAACAAATGACATGAGGACTATCTATAGCCCAAGGTCACCCAGCTGGCTTTGTGCCTAAGGGCTAGAACTCCTAGGCTTCCAGTTTCTAGCTGTTGCTTTAAGCACTACACCAAACTGGCTTCTACATTAGTTTTCTTGTATTAATATGCAAGAAAAGAACCATGGAGTTCAGACCATCTTTTGGAAGGTTAATGAATAAACCTCTTGATGATAATATAACAACCTCATTTCCATTTGAGCCACATTAGGTAGCAGGAAACTGACATATTTTAATACTGACTTTACACATGCTTTAAGGGAGCATATACATATGCTAAGATGATTGTGGAGGTCACAGGATTCCCCATGCCAGCTGCTATTCCTTTTTCTTGATGGAAGTCTGATCTAATTTTTACTCTTATATTACAGTGAGAGCAACATTCGCGAGAAAGCAAAAGTATGCAAGAAACGCAGCAGCAAATGGTGAATTAAACGCTGTATAAGAAAAACAACTCCCAGCCAGGATATTTTATAAAACTGCAATTCGCCAATTGAGGGAATGGGGATTCTGCTATGGATAATCGAGAACTGTGAAGATTAATTTGGACACTATGAACTGCTGGTCACATGTCAAATTTCACTGAAGCAGCAACAATTGCATGTTTTAATTAAAGGTTCCCACGCTCTGAAAAACACAGATGCCCAGAGCCTCCTTCCCTCCTGCATACAGCAAATTCTTCTTTCATTTCTTACCCTTATTCCCACATCTACAGTATGCCGATAGCTTGGAAAATCTTCTTGTAATCCAATCTTAAAATCTGAGGCTTATTATATGTAAGCTTCCCTGCTGTTCTCCTTCAATATTTGGTCTTGCAAATTCTCATCTTGCCAAATAACTCCCTTCCCTTCCTCGAAATTCATAATAAATCCCAATATACAACATTTCTCTAGAAACAATGCAAATATACTTGTCTTCAATCTCCTTGACATAAAAGCATTCCCTTATTAGTTCGCTGTATACTTGGCGACCACAATATTGTTAGAACTACTCAAGATAGAATCCTTGTACAACATTATATAACACTTGAGAGACTTGAAAATAGTTTTGATGTGTGTCCTAAAGGTTTGTTTTTTTCCTGAAAACATTTCACTTCTCATCCAAGAAGCTTCTTAAATGTTTTCTTTAAAACATTTTGTTTTGTTGAGAAATGAAACATTTTCAAGAAAAAACAGAAAGTCCAGTTGCCTTTTGAAAAGCACTTTTGGACAACCCTGGCCTGGATGATTGAGAATCTCCATAGATAGTTTTGATGTTTCAGACCAAATGCATCCTTAGCCAACCATTTAAGCACTTCTTTTCCATCAGAGCATCAAAGAACTGGAAGAAATTTAAGAGGTCATCAACCCCCTACACACTATAGGATTCACTTCACCATCCGTGATGGTGACTGTGCAGCTTCTGTTCGAAAAACTTCAGTGAAAGAAAAGAAGCTATTAAATGCAATCTTCCTTCTGATTCTAGCCTAAAGCATTTTAGGTGAACCAATCTCACCATGAGATTTTAATGGCAGGTGAAACAAGCAAAGATCTAATTCAACTGCATCAGTATTCTGTCTGAATGCCGGAGCAATTCTGCATTTTTCTCCCAAACCAAAAAAGGAATTCATCTGGACAAAAGCACACTCCTTGTAATAAATAAAAACCAAAGCAAACATAATTATTCTGCAGATTAAATATGCTTCCTTTAATTCAAGAAATTAAACCAGGAGGGATTTTCTTATTAAGAACTTAATAAGTTCACACCTCCCTATTCTGCCTGACATTCAGTCCTTCTACACTGCATCTAATCTCTTCAACCAACTCTCCTTGTCCCCACTGAAAATTCTTCTACTTCTAATATCAAACTTGAGTCACAAGTTCTAAAAGAAATGAAACCAACATAGGGCCATTAAGATTAAAAAGGGGAGATATCAACATATACAAGAAGCACTGAAGCATGTAGTTCCTCCATATTAGAATTCTTTATTGGCCACCAAGTGTGATTGGACACACAAGGAATTTGTCTCCAGTGCATAAGCTCTCAGTGTACATACAAGCAACAAGTGATAAATCATGATCATAATTATAAAATACATTCATCATAAATCATGATACAACATAGTGATAATCATAGGATACTAAATAAGCAATCAACATAAATCATACTAGGATACTAAATAAAACAATATAAACTAAAATACAGGCAATAAAGTTATAGTCATAAGAAGATAATGAAACAGATAATAGGAAAGTTGAGAAAGATAATAGTAATACAGCCCTACTAGGTAATTTGACAGCGTTGTGGGGATTAGTTGTTTATCAGAGTGATGGCATGGGGGGGGGGGAAACTGTCCTTGTGTCTAGTTGTTCTGGTGTGCAGTGCCCTATAGAGTCGTCTTGAGGGAAGAAGTTGAAACAGTTTAT